ACAATTATTCACACTTCATTCATTTCCTTTTTTTTTTCTTTTTTTTTTTAAAAAAAAAATTTTAACAAAAAATTAGATGTAATTCAGGAAATTTTACTTCAAAAAAANAAAAAAAAAAAGACAAATGCTATATTTATTGATTGTATTATATTTGGCAATTGTAAGTATACAAAAACGAATCATACGAGTTGGACATTTATTACCACCTAATCCAATCATTGCAAATGAAGCGGATGTCCTTCGAATTTGTGCAAATGATCTTCACATGCGCAATATTTTACCGCCTAATTTAACAATAGAGTATGGGAAAGTTTAATTAATTATAGCTTATTATTTATTGTTTATTTTAAATATTATTAATGTTTTTATTTTTTTTATGAAAAACTTCAATTTATTGCTATTGCTCCAATTAGCTTAATGATGATGGGGAAAGAAAAATGAATGAGTATTATTGTGGAAAGGATTTTAAAAGATAATAGATGACAGTTAGCTAATTAATTAAACTTTAATTGACAAAAAATGAGATTGAAAAAGAGATACGAAGAAGTGTATGCAAATTTGTTCATTTTTAAGGAGTTCATGTTATTATTTACATTCATTGTTTACTAACTGATAATTGACAAAAACTTAAGTTAAAAATTTTCTTTCTTTAATTTGCAAAAAAAAAAAAATATATATTTAATGAATTTTTTTTTTTAAGAGTAATTACGATGGAATCATGCAAAGACTTTAGCGGTGTTGAAAATGCAGCATATTTGCATTATATGAAAAATGTTACAGTATATTTTGGACCTGGTTGTAATGAAGGTATCGTAATAATTAATTTAAAAATTTCCCATATCCAATTAATAATTTTTTACAAAAGGTAATCTAATGAAAGAGAAATGATCATTATCATGAAACATGAAAATTGCAAAAGTATACATTTCGGAATTTTAGAATGATTATTAAACGGATATGATTAACGTTTAAAAAAAAGTAAAACGAAGAACAATAGTAATTTGAATAGCACTGATAATTTTTAACTATCCGGTTGAATTAAACGGAAACAGGTTTTAATAGTTATACCGGAAATCATTCAATATACCTTTTTACAATGCTACTATCACATTAGATAGTTGAAATAATTAATATTTGCAGAAATTATAGTAATTAGTCGATTAGCTAAACGTTGGAATATTCCAATAATAGCACATTTATCTGGTGATGATGCACTTGCTGATAAGACAATATTTTCAACACTTGGATCTGTTGCACTTACATCAGCAATTGAAATGGCTCGAGCAACATTTACATATATTAAGTTAAACAAATGGCAAATGGTTAATTAATTAATCAAAATTTCCCACATTACTATAAATACTTAAATTGGTTTAAATTAAATTTCATTCCCTTAACATCATTTAATTTAGATATTTAATACATTTATTGATAAAAATAATTGATAGCTGATATATTGTTATCTCGTGAGTTTACTTTGCTTTCCTTCTTTTTGTTCTTTAAGATTAAATTTAAATAATTCGATTTAATAGAAAAAACAATAAGTTAGGTTTAATTTTCCTCCTATATGGACAAAAAAAAAAAGAGTCTTAATTATTTGGCTTATTTTCTCCATTTTACATTTATCAGACCTTAATTAATTTCTCTTACAAAGAATGTTATAAAATTATTTCATAATGATTGAAAAACAAAAGATAATTCGTGTCATTTAGTTAAATAATTTAATTAGAAACAGTAATCTCTCATTTTTTTTTTTTTTAATTAAAAGCGGTAGAATCTTTCATTTTGTTTAATTAAAAGCGGTAATTTTCCATTCCATTATGCTTTAAATTTCAAAAATATACCATAAAATTCAAACGAAAAAGTTTGAATGAATTATAAAAACAAAAAAATTTTCCAGATTGGTATTGTACGACCAACGATTCATTTCGATAGTCTTTCGGTACATTCTCTGGTACAATTAGTGAAAAATGATACTGATGTTAAGATTAATATCGTAATCGAAATTGATCCATTGGCATCTATCGAAGAAATCTTGCGAAGCAGAAAACTTGAAAAACTTCGAAATTCTGCACGAAGTAAAACAATACTATGTATTGTTAAGTTCAGATAGGTTACAGTAATAGTATAATGTAAATCAATTTTACTCCATATTCATGCCTTGTATTTACAATGCGCGATGAATCTTTGCATACTCCAAACATTTCCGTAAATTTCACTTTTGCTATCATGTAATATTATTATAGCAATTGAACAAAATGTAGCGAAACATTACGGTAGGATAAAAATGATTACGGTATTGTACCGTACATTAATAATGTGGTATATTAGTCCGATTGGTATTACATAAAGATTGTAAATGAAAGGAAAAGAAACTTGGCAAAACAAGCTGTTACCTATTAAAATCTCTGACTATTGGAAATAAAAAATGAATATTTGTGTATGAGTATGTACTGATAAAATAATGATAAATTAATTGAATTAACATTTACTGATCATAAAGAAGTATAAAATTTATCGTTTAATTTTGTCAAAGTTTTTATTTAACCGACAAATATCATTTAATAAGTAATACTTCAATATGCAATCATAAAATTTAATATTTCATTTAACAACTTATCTGTTAATTGATTAATTGGGTTATTATAATGTAAATTATTATTATTATGTATTTCAAAGTAATAATAATAGTAAAAATAATAATAATAATAATAATAATAATAATAATAATAATAATAATAATAATAATAATAATAATAATAATAGTAATAATAATAATAATATAATAATAATAATAATAATAATAATAATAATAATAATAATAATAATAATAATAATAATAATAATAATAATAATAATA